GTGTGTGTGTGTGTGTGTGTGTGTGTGTGTGTATTTAGAGGTAAAGGAATAGATCAGAAAACCACAGAATCTCAAGGCCTCTGTGCAAAAACATGCTCTACCACCTACTGATTGGCATTGGTCAAGTTGCCTTATTTGTCTTAGCCTCAGTTTCCCCATTTGTAAAGTGGAGGTGATAAAGACATCCCTTTCACAGTGCAGTTGTAAGGATCAGTTCACCTGAGATTAGAAGGTAATTCTATGCTAATCCATGGAAATCTATGTAAATTAATAGACTGGTTTTAATAAGGGAATTTGTGTTTCATTCAGCAGGAGATAAGAGAAGGAGGAAAAGAGAGAGAAAAAAGCAAAATGAGAGATAAGAGAGGACTTCGAAGTGTCTTAGTAAAACAGAATTAAAAGAAAATATGAACCTTTCCATGAACTTTTTGAAGTCCCCTTGTATATAGAGAGACAGTGAAAGAAACAGAGAAAATGTGTGTGTGTGTGTGTGTGTGTGTATTTAGAGGTAAAGGAATAGATCAGAAAACCACAGAATGTCAGATCTGTAAGGACCTTTGAAATTCTTGTATTGAAATCCAACTCTCCCATTTTAGAGTTGGGCACTGAGGATCAGAGAAGAGAACAGACAGTTGTAGGACAGATGACCTTGACTTCAGCCCTGAGCTCTTAAGGAGGCTAATGCAGGAACATCCTCAGGCAAACCCAGAAGTAAGGCTCCTAGACCGCCCCTTTTGTAGGTCCTGGAAACTTCACCCCACTGAGGGTCTCTGAGACCTGTGAGCCAGCCTTCCGAGGAATCTGGACCAGGAAGCCATACTGTGCTCTGAAATTACAGTGGTTTCAAAAAGACAGGGCTGGCCATTCCACAGAGATTCCTACAGAAACAAACGTGGCTGTTTTTTTCCCACAGCCGCAAATGTGAAAGCACCTGCTTCGATTCTACCACTAAATGCTGGGTAACTTTACACTAGATGCTCAACTTTCCTGGGCCTAGGTGTCTCTGGGGTGTAAAGATGGGACTGGGCTAAATTATCTCTCAGTTCCTTTCCTGGTCTGACATTAAAAGATTTTGGAATTCAAAATGCATCTTACCACATGGAGAAAGTCATCATCTCCACTAATGTCCAGGCCTGAAGCAATGGGCAGGTGAGTTTTCAGTTCATCAGCTTCAAAAATTGCTATGACCTTTGTGAGCTTCTCCCTCTCTGGCCACATGGAAATAACAGGCCCCAGAGATTTAGTATTGAAACAAAGGAAAATGTGCAAAAACTCTCTCCAGTGTTCCCACACCATATGCCGATGTCCCCCTTACCTTCTCTCCCTGCCCTTTTCCAATATTGCTTTTTGTTACAAATTATTCTAATCCCCACCCCACAGCCTCTCCTGTCCTCCTCAGCACGTGAGGAGGGTAGTAACAGCAACAGTTGTCAAACAGTAGCTTATTGAGGTCTTTTCTGCCTGCAAAGTACTTTCATATTTATAAATGCATTTGTCCTCCCAGGAAGCTATGAGGCGGCCAGGTAGAAAATTATCACCCACGAATTAGAAAGAAATTGAGGCTGAGAAAGAGTCACGGAGGTTGAGGATGGCGGGCATATGACCCCCTTCAGCAGACGTGGTGTGCTCAGACTAAAAGAACTGGGACAAATGAAAACAGACTCTGAGTCAGGGTCTGGCAAGTGGTAGGTGCTCAGTAAGTTTTTTTTTCTTGTTAAGGATGGAGTCAGATCTACTAAACAAATGCCAGCTCACCAGACAGAGCAAACACTACCTTTTCAGAGTCTGCCTCCCTGACTGGTAACAAGCTGCTGGAGGGGATGGACATGCCTTGCTTACCTCTGTCTTTATCACCCATGCAAGACCTCGCACAAGACAGGTTCCTTAAAGGTTAAACCAAACTGAACTGAGAGAAAAGCAGAAAAGGAAGGAGGGAGTGGAAGAAGGGTGGGGTGGCAAGGGGGGTTGGCCTTGGCTGAGAGAGAACTCGACTTACATAGGAGAAGTCCTCAGCATTCTGGCACAGGAGCTTGGGGAAAATGGCCTGTCTCTGGAACCGTTCCTCATCCTCAAAGATGTTTCCATACATGAAGCCATTCATCATGGTGGAGTGGGCATGGATGTCAATATAGAACTCCAGGCTTGTTTTCTGTTGAGAGAAAGATAACAAATGTGAAGTCTGGGTCATAGAGCTTGCCTTAAAGGGACCAGACACTACACACACGCACACATGCACACACACGCAGACACACACACACGTGCACGCACATTTCCTTTCGAGCTGGCCCTAAATGTCAGCAGACTTAGCAGCCATTTGCAGTGTGATTGGAGGGGTTGAGACAGGCCAGGATCAATTTCTCCTCACTCTTAACACCGTCTGCCCTCAGTGTCTGAAAGTGCTACATTAGCAACCCTTTTTAGAGGCTTCTGAAGAAGCGAGGTTTTTGTTAGATTAAGTCATGATGTTACCTACTCAGAACAGTTAACATGCTCATGATTAGACATCAGTGAAATTTATTTCTCTGATTAATGAAAAATACCTTCCGGGTAACATATTGTATATACTTTGGGCCTGTTTGCAGTTTTGCCCCAACTTGGCCATTTCTAGCTGGGGGGACTGGTATAAATTATGTCCCCACTTTGAACCTCAGATTTCTTATCTGAAAAGTGAGAATTTTAATTCCAACCTCAAAGAGTTATAGTGGGAATCAAACATAGCAATAATTACTATCATTTACTGCATCTCAAATGCATGCCAGGCACCATTTTGGAAGCTTTATATATGAAGTCTTAGTTAATTCTTTTATTTAACCTTGTTTCATGATGCCACACCTATTCCCCAATAATAAAAACCCTGCAGTATATGGGGAAAAAGCCTTGCAATCTGTAAAAATGACATTTACTAGTTTTTCTCTGCTCTCTACAAGCACATATTCAAGGCACTTCCTAGCTTCAAATGGTATTATCTGATAAACTTCCCTGAAGATAGGGGGATTGTCTGAAAAGGGCCCAGTGCCTGAAGTGAAGGGTGCTCAGAGTGACTGAACAAACAACCCGCGAGATAGCTCCATATACTGTAATAGACTGGCAGAAACTGGGGGATTTTTAGATCATTATATCTTTAATGTCCCTCAGGTCCAGCCTTCTCTTCCTATACATCAGCCCAGTTTACATCTTCCTGAGAGTAACAGAGGAACCAAATGGGGAAGGGACTTGCCCAAATTCATGTAATAACTGGGACTGACTCGCAGGCCTCCTGACCTCTGGCACAATTAACTTATCACCCTCAATGGCCAACACTAGAAATAGCCCACGCAAAACCTGGCCACCTTTTCATCCTCTTTCTAGCCCATAATCCTGGGAAAGAAGAAAAGTCCACATTTAGAAGGACCCTCCCTCCTTGGGACACTTTCAAACCAAGTTAACACCAAATGAAAACCATGTTGCTTCTAGAATGTGGGCTCAATGACTGTCATTTCATTTGCCTCAGAGTTGGAGTGAAAAATTATGTCTTGCCGAGCTCCCAGTTCTTTGGGTAGCATAAGCTGTCTTTTGAGAGATAGAAGATGCACTGCTCTGTGTAATATTAAACTCATCATTTTCAGCTTTGGAGGTGGAATACACAATGATTCAACAGGAGCCCTATAAAAGTCATCTTTGCAATTTTATTTTCTTCAATTGTCTGTCTTTTCCTCTGAGCTTTTGATGAGCTGCAGAGGAAAGGTGGAGGTAGAGAGATGACTTAAGAAATGTGTAGGGAAAAACTGCGATTTGTATCTCTGGATGTCAGAGCTAGAAAGGGCTTTGGAAACCAGTTTCTCTGACCTTTCTCAGATCAGCCCTGAGTGACGAGGTGACTTATGTAAGGCCGGCCAGCAAGTTAGTGAAGGAGCAGGAATTAGAACCTGGCTTTTCTGATTACCTTTCTGGGTGTGGATTTCACTGCCCCATCCTGACACTTGGCAGCCAATGTGACTTCACTTTAAATAGCCAGCAGGTGAATCATATCGATTAATTCATGCGATTCAAAAGTCAAAAGGTATGAAATAATTTACAGTGAATAATCTCCGTTCCACCCCTATCCTCCAGTCACCCAGTTTTGCTCTCTAGAGGCAAGTGAGGTTACCAGGTTTGAATGTATCCTTCTGGAGATAGTTTGTACATATACAAGTTAATATCCCCTAACTCCAACTCCTTTCTCCACACACCCACACAAATGGTAGTACCCTAAAAATACTATTCAGATCTCCTTTTTTCCTCTGAATATATTTTGGAGGTGATACTTTCTTAGTACTTAAAGAGTTGCTACATTCCTTTTAACAGCCGTATATAAACTAACCAGTTCCCTACTGATGGACAATTAAGGTACCTCCAATCTTTTCTTGCTACAAACAATGTCTTAATGATGGACTTTGTATATACATCATTTCACATATATACAATCATAAGTAGAATAAATTCCTAGAAGTGCAATTTCTGGATCCTGTGTGCATTTGCAATTCTGATAAATATTGACAGACTAACCCTTACTGGTTCCTACTGACCTTAGAAGGGCCAATACACCGCTAGCCATGTATTACAGCATGTCTTTCTCAATTACCTTGACAACATGGGTGGGATCAAACTTTTTGATATTTGCCAGTTTGATGGGTGAAAAATGATATCTAAGATTAGTTTTAATCTGAATTTCTCTTAGTATCATTATCTTTTATTAAATGGTTAAGCATCTTTTCAAGTGTTTAAAATTGTTTGCATTTTATCCCCTATGAATTGTCTGTTCATTTTCTTTGCCCATTTTAAACATTGGGGTTGTTGGGCTTTGTTTCTTACTTACTTAAAAAAAAAGGTATGTCATAAAGAAATTAGCCTTTATATGAAGTATAAAAATATTTTTTGTCATTCGTCTTTTTACTTTTCCTCTACTAGCACATTTTTCCATGCAGAAATTTTTAAATGCCATCTGATTTGTCAATATTTTCTTTTCTGGTTTCTAGGGTGAATTCCTTCATCGTTTATTTTATTTTATTTTTTTTTCTTTTTAAATATTTGTTTTATTTTAAATTTATATACATGTAGATTGTGAGGTAAGGATTAAACTTTATTGTCCCAATACCATTATTGAATTGTGCAAATTTTCCCGACTGACTTGAAAAGCCATCCTTACCATACGATTTTTTTGTATGTGCTTGAGTTTAATTTTGGACCTACCATTCTGTTTTAATCATTTGTCTATTCATGTGTCAATACCACTTAGTTTTAATTATTTTCTGTTTATAATATACTTTAATATTTGAAGGGCTAGTACACCTATTACTCTTGTTCTGAACTTTCATGAATTTTCTTGCATATTTTTCTAAGTGATCTTTATCACTAGCTTGTTTAGTTTCCCCAACTCCCCAAATCCTGTCAATATTCTCAATATTTGAAATATAGTCATATTAAATTTACAGATTAGTCTAGAAAGAATTAACTCTTATGACTTTCAGCCTTCCCATTCAAGAATATTTATTCAAGCTTTCATTTGGATATGGCAGGAAGTTTTTAAAGGTTTGGGTTTTTCTGTTTTTTTTTTTTTTTATATATATATATAGACCTTGACCATTTTTTAAAAATATATACAGCCAGGCAATTTATATTTGTAGTTGCTGTTGTAAATATGATGTTTTCTTTCAATAAATCTTCTAACTGAGGGTTCTCCATAAATATAAAAGATTCTGCTTTCAACATATGAAGTTTGTATTTGGACATGCTACTAACTCTACTATTTGTTATAATTTCTGATTTGATTTTCTTAGATTTTCATTTGTTTACTTATTCAACAAATAGTGCTGAGTACTTACTATGCATCAGACTGGGATATAGGCACTGGGATTATGTACTGGCAAGTAATCTGGGCACAAGGGATATAACAATAAACACAGTAGAAGCCTCTTAATCTCAAAGATTTACATTCTATGGTGAGGGAAAGAAAATAAACAAACCAATTAATGAATATATGTCAGGAGGTACTAATGGCATGAAGTAGGAAAGTTAACCTGAGGATATCAGGGGAAGGGTCTTCCAGGTAGAAGTAAATGCAAAAGTCACCTGCACTTGCCATGTTTGAGGAAGAGCGAGGAGGTGAGGATGCCTGAAGAAGAGGAGTGAATAAAGGGACAATATTTTACATGTAATCTTATTACCTGTACACAATAATTTTATCTCCTATTTTTCTGCTTTTATACTTTTAATTTCTTTTTCATGTTTAAGTGCATTGGCTAGTACCTCCCAAACAATTTAGAGGCTAAGTTAATTTCTTTCTAGGATCCCTTCACCCCTGAGATTCTGTGGAAATGAGTAGAAAAAGGTCTATGAAATTTATCCAAATGGGTACTGAGTTTGAGGTCTTAGTTCTTTCTCTTCTTTATTGCACATATTCAACATTTTGCTGGCATCGCCAAAAGACAAATGAATACTAATTCCAACAACATCCTCATTATGCCTTGTGCCAAAACTGGTTTTATGGACTTGTATTGGCCCAGTTAGAAGGAAGCATGAAAGGCCGTTCTGGTTCTGGGGCTAATGTTAACATAATCTGTGACCACGGGCAAGTAGCAACTCTTCACTGAGCCTCAATTCCATCATCCGTAAAAGTGGTAAGTAGATGAGATAGAGAAGATATGACTTCTTTCAACTTTTTATAATTCCTTCTCATCCTCAGTTAAAATAAATCTCTCATTCTCCACACAGCTTCTTGACTGAGTCTGATATCAGTACTTGTTACTTTATACCTAATCTGGCTGATAAGTATTTCTGTTTGTGAGTTCCTTAAGGACAGGGACTGTCTGATCTAAGTCCCCATCATCTCTTACTTAGTCCACTACAATGCTTCTTAACTGGTTTATTTGCTGCTTTGGAGTGATTTTTTAAAACGCAAGCAAACTATGTCACTTCCCTAGTTAAAACTGGTCTATAGTTCCCTATCACTCACAGAATAGAGTCCAAGCCCCTTAATATGTTTTAAAAGGCATTGCATGATCTGGTCCCTGTCCCCAGTCTCAGCTCTTGATACTTCTGGTCTGATTCTCTGTACTCCAACCACATGGAGTTACCTAGAGTACCTCAAACCACTATGCGAGTGACTTTTGTCTCCACATTTACACAAAATAT